GAGGAGACTAGACCATGATTTGAGCCGGTTTGAGATGATTTATCCGAATTACGGTGGCTCTGAGTATAACAATGTTTTGGAAAACAGAGTGGATGATCAAGATAGCCATATTGCTCAATTGGAGGAAGAGAACTTAACATTGAAGGAAAGGTTGTTCTTGATGGAAAGGGAGTTGGGTGACTTGAGGAGAAGGTTACAGTATCTCGAGAGGCGGAATATGGTTGCTGAAGATGCTAACGAGGAAGTTGTGGAGAATGAGTCTGAAAGTGACGGTGATGACACAGGGGGATCCGATGCACGTACTAGTGGTGACACAAAGGTGAACCATGTGGCTGCGGAAGACATTTGTATGCAGGATGTTGCGGCGAGAGATGAGACTGTGGTGAAAGAAATCAAGAACAACAAGATCAATGTTGATGAAGCAAAAGAGAACAAACAAACAATTAGTGTGGGAAGTTGTGAGGAAAATAAACCTGAAGGTAAGGAACCAGCTGAAAAGGATTTTTGCGAAATTGCAGGTGAACAATGTGAGGAAGCCAATCGGGTCACGGTTGATATGGATGAGAGTAAGGAGAATGAAAAGGCGATTGTGAAGCTTGAAGATGCAACTGAGGATGATTCTGTTGGAGAACAAGGAACAACCATGTGATGATGATACATTTGGCCCAAGGAGGGAAGCATCACGAGAATTCATTGATGATGGTAGGTGGTAACAGGTGATGGAGTGGTGATTGCAAAGTTTGATGACGCATACCATATCTCCCTTTTAAAATAATGTAAGTCTCTTATATGCACAGGCGTTAGTGATGGATTCCTCTACAGCTCAGTGATTGTATATGTCTGAAATGTGCTTGTCGTAGTAGGCGTAGTCTAGTTCTCGGATTGCTTTTGGTATCAGAGTTAGAAGAGTCGCTTACCCGGAGAAGTTGGTATGAAAGTCATGGTAGGCTTTTTCCCATTTATTTTCTGGGTCATCTACTCTATCTTGTTGGGTTATAATAATGGGATTGTAGTAAAAAGGCAAGGTTCATTGTAGTGAAAGAAGTTATGGATCATAAGTTTCTTCTCTTAATGCATTTGTATGTTTCACTTTACTAGCAAAAGCAGATGTTTTGTATCAAGTTGCAGTGAGACGAGCTTGAAGAGATTCTCTGAGTTTGATCAAGATTTGTTTTACTTTTCCTACTTGTCTCTTTATTTGGGTTTGCATCTTACAAAACATTTAAGTCCAGCCCAAATTTTAGCCCATTTGGGGTCAGTGGGCTTAGTTATTTAATGTCCATAAACTAACTGAATTGTTAACTTTATTCTTTAAACCTTTATTTGTATAAAACGCCCGTTTATCAACACGGTCATGCGATTACGCATTTTTTTAGCGAACAATATCGATTGTAAGATTTATTATTTTAGCTCGTTGGAAACAGAATAAATTTCTTAATGTTTCCGTTTAAAAAACAAAAACAAAGTAGCTAAAAAGATTGTTCAAGTATTTATCTCTATATCTTTCTAAAATAACACAAGATAGAACATTTACATTTACAATCGTTATATTGCATCACAGTTAACTTTTAAGTTTGTAAGTAATAAAAAGTCGTGAAAGGTGTTCGATCGAGTTTTGTATCAGAGAAGACACAATAATATTGATAATTATGTCTTACTATATGAAACTAATTAATGAACAACTATTAGGTGATGTATGTAATGTACCCATATACATATAATAAATAAAACCTTTTTACCAATTTCAACCATATTTAATAGAATAGCCTGCTATTTGGACATTAGTATTAAGAAAAGATATAGATACATGTGGCATGACTTATTCTATACTTTTTTTTGGCATGCCGATATTGGAAGTAGAACTAATTTGGACTATTACATGCACTTTGCAAACTAAACAAATTATTAAAAATTGCTGGAAGTTAAAAAGTTCGAGTAGAGGATGTAACACTACACTAAGACTGCGTAAGAAAATAACTATTAGTATTACGTGGAATCTACCATCAAGGTAGTTTTCAGAGATATGTACTTTGGAGTTGCTAAGTACATTTTATATGTTTTTTAAAAACACTTAATTCTTATCCATTTTGGGTTTTTAACAATCGATTTTAGATTGAAATATGTACAAATTTCTTCAAATATTAATTAAAATTTTCAATGGAACGCAAAATATAAAATGTTAAACCAACATAAATTGTTTAATGATTTCCAACGACAAATTAAAGCAATGATAAGTGGACTATTGTAACTTGATTGTGTACATATTAATAAATTTTGGAGATTGTTGACAAATGATTATTGTGTTTATCAATTTTGTTGACTAGAATAATGATAAAAACGAAAAGATTTAATAGATAGTTTCGATGAAAATTAACTGAAGAAAATTATTAAAAGGTTGAAAATTATAATTTTGTAAAAATATTTAGTTAACATGTAGAAAATTTTCACATACGTGGTTTTTGGTTAAATCATAGACTTTGAGATGCCTGGAAAGAATAACCAATTGCATCCTTAAAATACATGTGGAAAATACGAGTGGGGAGAGTTGTTTTACACAAAATCCACTTGCGACCTCAAAAATACATTTAAATACATCACTATTGGAACAAAGTTGACTATACAAGTTAGCTCGAAAACGCAGTCACTAATTTTAGTGGTTTAAACGTAAGATCAAACCGGCCAACTTACTAACAAGATAGAAGTTCATGAATTTAAATGGCTCTTAGTGCTTAAATCTTACACGAATTATAAAAATACAGAGCTTAATGCATCCTCTTGTGCATAAGAAATCAATCTTTCCGAAGCCGCCATACGTCACCATGCACTAATCATTCTCTTAGTAGCCCACTAACAATATCACAATTAAGCCCTAGATATCTATCATTGTTATCTAGTTTTCTCTATAAATAGAACCCCAATTCTTCGAGATCTTAATAAACTATAACTAACTCTATAGTAACTCATTTAAACAAGCCATCTAGACAATGAAAACACTATCCAAGGTGATGGGAGGACATGTTCTGCTTACTCTTTTCACTCTGAGTATGCTTTGTTCAGGGGTTAGGGCACAACTAAGCCCCGACATTTACGCTAAATCATGTCCCAATCTTGTACAAATCGTCCGTAAACAAGTTATGATCGCCCTAAAGGCCGAGATACGGATGGCTGCTTCTCTCATTCGTCTTCATTTCCATGACTGCTTTGTTAATGTATGTATTGTTATCTTTACGCCTTTTTTGTTTCGTGCAATATTATTTCATCAGTTTATTAAAACGTAGCATGAAATTTTCAGGGGTGTGATGCGTCTATATTGTTGGATGGAAGCGACAGCGAGAAATTAGCAATTCCAAACGTGAACTCTGCGAGAGGATTTGAAGTAATTGATACTATCAAAGCCGCTGTGGAAAACGCATGTCCTGGTGTTGTTTCTTGTGCTGATATACTCACTTTAGCCGCACGCGACTCGGTTTTCTTGGTAAGCATTTTGTTTCCATTTAACTACCAACATAATTAATATCTACTTTCATTTTGGATTATATATTTAATTAGTTTTCATATAACACGAGTTTAGCTTTTGAAGGAACAACAATTTATGATATGACTAAGGTGCTGATTAAATAAATAAATTGATTACCTTAGAGTTTGTAACGTAATCAATTTACTAAGGTAATCAATTTATGATTGATAAATGATTATCTATTCCAACTAATACAATAAAATTTATGATTGTGTAATATATCTGTAAACATTTTTTGTTTTCTTGTCTATATAACTTACACATGATCATGCATGCTTTCGGATTGGAACTCGGATTAATTATATTTTTATTTTGTCATCTATAACGGTTTTGATTTGCAGAGCGGAGGGCCTCAGTGGAGAGTGGCACTAGGAAGAAAAGATGGATTAGTAGCAAATCAGAGCAGTGCAAACAATCTCCCATCTCCATTTGAACCTTTAGACGCTATTATTGCCAAGTTTCTAGCTGTAGGCCTTAATGTCACTGACGTTGTATCGTTATCAGGTATAACTCTTTTTTTTTTTCAACAATAGTTTGAATTCATGTGGTAACATATTGACGACACAAGTACAAACCACTAGGCTACATGTCAAAAAAAATTTCTAAAATTTCGTAGTCTTTCTTTTAATAACTTATCACTTATTATGCATTTTAAATCTTCTACATGTAAATCTTTCCTCTAAGTACTTATCACTTATTTATGCATTTTTTCATTTGCAAAGGAGCTCACACCTTTGGACAAGCTAAGTGTGCTGTCTTCAGCAACCGTCTCTTCAACTTTACCGGTGCGGGAACACCGGACGCAACACTTGAGACAGTACTCTTGTCTGATCTGCGAACAGTTTGTCCCGCGGGAGGGAATGGAAACCAAACCGCTCCACTTGACAGGAACTCTACGGACGCCTTCGACAACAACTATTTCAAGAACCTACTCCAAGGGAAAGGTCTTTTGAGTTCGGATCAGATTCTGTTCTCGAGTGACTTGGCTGTGAACACAACAAAAAGACTTGTGGAGGCTTATAGTCAGAGCCAATACTTGTTCTTCAGGGACTTCACTTGTTCGATGATCAGAATGGGAGGTATTACGAATCTTGTGAATGGATCTAGTGGGGAAGTTAGGAAAAACTGCAGGGTTATTAATAATTAGTCTGTTTTTTTTGGATTTTCTGCAATGTTATGGAGAGTTAATCTCCCTCGTCTGTATCAAAATGGTCATGTGTGCAAAGTGCAATAATAAGAATTAACAACTCACCAAGTGGATGGTGGCCTAGTTCAACTTCACTTGGGAGAAGTGATTTACGCCTTAAATATGGTATTATCAATGGTTGGCTCCGCACATTGGGAAGGATTATAGATGAAAGATCTGAAACTTCTACAGTTTATAAAAAAAAAAAAAACATTAACCACCTATACTAATCATAATACTATAGTTACAACTTACAAGTAACCACGCTACATAAAAGCTTTAGTGGGTGATTGGTTCGGGTGTCACTATATATTAATTGCTGTACAATTTTGTCTGTATACGTTTTTGCTGTAAATTTAAGATTTTAGCTGTAATTTTTTAAAGTTAAAGTATGATTGGTAAGTATTATATATATATATGCTGTAGAATAATTTTTATTTATATAAAATTTTCAAAATC